AGATACTCGGGGCCACAGGGATGCTGGAGGTCACCTACTCCCAGCTGCTTTGGGAATCTCATGGACTTCATTGGAAAAGGCCTTCAGACAGGGAATACTCTTGGATTGGAGCTCAATGGCAGGGCAAACCAGGAACAAGCAATTATGACTCCATTTCATTTCAGTATATAGCAAATCATAGATGCACCTGCATTTTCTTCTTCTTTCTCCCTCATTTCCCCTTTTTGCCTCTCCTTTATCTGCTATTTATGCACCATTTCCCCCCTCCTTTATCAGTACAGCACCTCAGCAAATCACCACCTGGTTTTCTTACAGAGGTCACAGTGGTTGCCCTCATGGTCTTGGCACAAAAAAGCTAAAAACTTCCAGCATTCCTATTTGGAATCAGGGTACCAGCCCTGGTTCTCCCTCATGGATTAACAGCTTCCAATATGTGCCTTTCTGAAGCCTCAGTTTGCACAGAACAGCAATTCAGTGTTGTGGGGAATTCCATTCCTGATTTTCTTCCCAGTTTGCACCTACAGCTCACATCCATCCCGTGCTCAAAAGTATTTCACAAACTCTCCTGCAAAGGTGAAGCTCCCAAAATCCATCTCTGAGGCTCCAGCACTCCCAGAGTGCTTTAAAACTCACAGAACAAGGCCAGATCTTTTTCTGAGCAGCGCCTCCTCACAGACTCCTGGTGGCAGAGATGAGGAGCCCTGCCAAAAATGCTTGGACTAACGCTGCAAATAAACTTGTGTGTCTAAGGAGGAGGGAAATGAGTGACAGAGAATTAAAGTAAAAATACTTTCTGATTATTACCTACACCGAGCTCCCAAAATCAAGTTTCATTCCAAAGCAGCTGTAAAGCTTCATTAATCTAAGAAATCTGCTGTCTAAAGAATTGTTTTCTGTATGGGTTTTGTTGAATTCACTGTGTTGGGTACATTTTTATTTGTTGGTAACTTTCCTCACTAGATTTAGCACTATTTCATTTGGCCTCTATCAGATAAAACTTCTGAGAGAGAATTGGTGAATAAAAGTTTGAAGTCTAGGTGAGAAGACAGGAAAATCTGCAATTTGAAGCTTTTTCCCTTTCCAAATGAGATTATTTGACAGGCACTCACCTCATACCTGGCCTGCTCCTAAAGCAGCAATATTGTGTGAGCACAGCTGCATTGCAGTTTATGAACAGCTGCATCAACCTAAGCTGGGAAAAAAGGGGAAGGAACTTCTGGGCTCAGGGCCTGAGCACTGGAATGAGAATTCCCTCCTTTTTCCCTAGGTCTTAAGTGGCAGGATGAGTCCTGAAGACTGAACTCCCCACTTTTAGAAGGTTCAAAGTTCATTTTTCTGACTGTGACAGAGGGAGAAAGAGCTGGAAAAAATCAATGTAAGTGCAGAACTGTCATCAGTGACAGGAAAAGCCTTAGAGAGCTGCTGGTCCTTAGGGCCAGGATTAAACTCGTTGTTTCCTAAGCAAATTCCCCTCACCATTTGACTTTTCTGTGTGCTCGTTCCAGTGGTTTCCCTGCAGCATTCCCAGGAGCATTCCCACCTCCAGGCTGCCTGCCCAGCCAGGCAGGAATTAAAGCCCTGGGGGCTGCCCAGCCCCTGGGGCAAGGAAAGCAAACTCTGCCTGGGGAGCAGGGTCCTCACTGCCAGTCCAGATTTACATCCACCTGCACATCCAAATATCCCAGTGGGAATCCAGAGCTGCATCTAGTGACTTCAGGTGAGAATAAAGAAAGCTGTTACATTCAGACCATTATTGTTCATGCTGCTTTGTGAATTTATTTCTTTAAATTTTCCACTTGTGCTCCTGCCAAGAGAGATCTATTAGACAGAAAGCAGCAAGAGTAAAACTTTATCATTTTGTTTCAAACTATAAAATAATTTACATCACATATTTTACTTACTTTTGTCTTTTTTGTTTGTTTTTTTTTTGAAACCACAAACATTCCAGCATCACACTGTAGGAATAAGAATAACAATAGAAAGCATAACCTTTTGCATAGTATTAAATGAACAGACAGAGTAAGTTCTTTATTTACAATTATTGTCTAGATAAAAAAATTCATAAAAACAGATGAATGAACATATATTAATAACCCCTAGTGGGATGGATTGCCAATGTACCACTGTATTGTTGTCCACAAATCTCATGCTGCTAAGTACAGTACGTAGAGAGCGAGCATTTATATATTGCAGGGAATTTTAACAAACTGATCATTTTGGTTTTTGATCCATTGTTCCCATCACAGAGAGGTCAAGCAATAAAAGAAAGGAATTGTGATGCACGACTCGTAGTTGAAAGGTCATAGCTATTCTGCTTTAAAAAAAAAAAAAAAAAAAAAGTCTATCATTTATCATATACATAAAGCACAGTCTCTGCTCACAAAAGCCCAAGTTTTCTATGCATCTCAGTTTATATATGTTTTACTATATATACACAGAATGCAGTGTTCATTTTCTTAACAGTTTTCAAGTCTGCAAATGGTACCTTAGGGAGGGGTACTCCTACAGGAAAAAAAATGGAAAAAAATAAAATAAAATGGAAAAAACATGGATAGCGTTTGAAAACGAAAAGGCAAACAGTCAGTGTGTTAAGATGCTGAAAAGAAACTGTTCCAGTATTAATAGCTTCTGTAGATGTTCAAGTCCAAAGCTAGAGGCTTCCCTGTAAATAGATACCACTTTTGTCTTCTGGCCAGAGATCCCAAGCAGGCCCCAAGAGCCCATCCGTGGTGTACAGGGGGAATCAGCGATTTACAGAGCACCGTCCTGCCTGGGTGCCCAGCCCTGGCTGCTGCCAGCCAGCTGCCACAGCTAGGGGCTCCTGCCCACCTGGGCACACCCTGCTGGCCTCAGCCTGGACCACGGAGCCAAGGATGAGCCAAAAGCAGAGGAGCTCCTACCCCAGAGTCCGGCAGCTGGCGGGGGAAGCTGCTGAGAGCTTTACCTGGCTGATAGTCCTGATGCACCCTGAAAACATCTGGGTTCAGTCTGCAGTTTGGCCATGAGTCTAAGCTTGGTTTGGAGAGTTCTGGCTTGGTTAAGCTGCTGTGACTGCAGAGATGCACCACTGCATGGAGCCAACTTTAAGACAACCAGAAAAACACCTTAACAACTCAATTGATCGAGATGGTTGGAGGGTGTTTTGTTCCAACACGCCTGGCATAATCGACTGTGTAATTCCAAATGTCTTTTGCACTGTACAGTTATGGAAAAAAAATCATATGCTGAAAAGTCTCCAAGCAAACTTTATATTAAATACAAAAATTATTTATGAAAAATCTGTGATCCACAAAGTGCTTAGCATTCAAGTGGTTGACATAGCAATTGTATAAGCTCATAATTTTTACGGCTTTAGGGCTGTTACCATCTTGAAAAATGTTTTCCACCTTCCATACTGCAGGTTTTCAAAGCAGCTTTCTAGGTAGAAAGCTCAAGGTAAAATAATGTATTACTGTGTTACTACAGGAACACAAGCTCGGTTAGAAAAAAAAAAAAATCACACAAAGCACATCTCAATACACAATTAATAAAGATTCGTTCAGTCCTAATAGTGCAGAAATTATATTTTTCTTAAAAAAAAAATAAAATCAAAGCAATAACCTACAGTGATTTTCATCCAAAATGCCAACAGCCCATACTTTGCAAATAAGAAGGAAATAAATGCCTAAAGTACTAATTGAAAAGGATTAACACAGTATATCACAAGATTTTAACATCTGTTTTATCTCCATATAGACAAACCAAATATAACTTATTTTAAATTATAAACTCATTTAATGTCTCTCTAAAAATAGTTTTCAAAGCCATTGCTGTATGTCTAAAGAATGAAATAGCCTCCATTATTGTATGTTGCACCAAAACGAGTTCAAGCAGATTATCAGAGGGAAGGAAGGAAAAAAAAAAAGGAGAGAACCTGATCATTTTGATTTTTATTTGAAACAAAGGAAGCCTGGTTTACCTCCCTGTATATAGGATCACAATGCTACATCCAATGTGTTATATTTTGGCTTCTTTTGTTATTTACTAGCAGTATCTACATTATTAACAAAAAAAGAAAAAAAAAAAGAAAATAAAAGGAAAATAAAAAAGAAATCAGGCAGAAATCAGAGCACGGTTGTAATAAAATATCCAGGGTGCGAGAGTACAGACATTTTCAATGAGCTGAGCTGAGCCATTTTTATACTACTTCGGCAGGAAGTGCTTTCTTAACCCTACAAATAGTTAAGGATATTATCTACAGGTTTGTAAACAAATTACATTCTTTTTTAGGACATAAATAAGTTAAAATAGTCAGAGCAATTTGAGCAGAAACAAGGCAACATGCCAACAAAGAAACTTTATATATATATAACTATATATATATAGATAGATATATACATATATATAATTAATTATCTATATACTTATATGTATATATCTCTATATATAGTCTCATAAATGTTTAAGTTCCTCTGTCCAACTGGTGCAAATCTACTGTGCAAGTTAAGCTTTGCAACTTCAAAAAAGTTATTTAAATTAATCTATACAATTGAGTCCATGCCACACAAGCATTTCAAAAAACTCACAGACCAGTGAATTGGATAAATAGCCTCAGAAAGAAGTCCTCTGCAGTTCCTGCTTAAGGAGGAAAAAAACCAAACAAACAAACAAAAAAAAATCAAAATAAAAAGGAAATAAAAACGAACAAAAAGAGAGAAAGAAGGGCCAGCAGTGTACAGTACATTCATGCAGGAGGATTTTTTTTTGTTTTTGTTTTTCTGAAAGGGAACGGGGGGTATGTAAATCAGCCATTCATTCTTTCCCCAAAACCATTGTGATCAACAATTCATTCACTTGTCTCAGAGTGAATAAGAGTTCAAACAGCTTTTCAGCCAGCAATGTTTTTAATATATATATTTATATATCTCGGTTGCTGTGGGGTTTCTTATTTTATTTTACTTTAACTTTTCTATTTCATTTTTTTCTTTTTCTTTTTTTTTTTTTTGCAGTGACCTTTTCAGCTAAAGTGATGTCTCCAGGCTATGTATTGGGCTTCCTGGACTAGAAGAGGTAGCTGATTTACTTGTATCAGTTGTAAGATTGATTCCACTGTCGATAGCACTGTTGTTCTTGTTCAGCGAGGACGGTGGACTCGAGTTTTTCTTGAGAGCAGGGTCTTCTTCTAGGTCTGTGTCATCAATGAGTGGGATGTGGGGCTGGGAATCTTCTATCCTAAATTCAGGATGAGTCATAAAGTTGTGAATAGAGGTTCTAGATTCTGGTTTTTCTAAACCTTCATAGAGAGAGCTACGGAATGCCTTCACGACGCGGATCTGGGGGGAGAAAAGGAAAGGGCTGTCAGAGGGCACCTCCCCAGGGCAGCAGCGGGGCAGAGAACACTTGTGAAAAATGTAGCACATGGTTAGGGCAGTGCAGGCAGCTGGAGTCCAAAGTCTCTGGATGTTATATGCATAAACGAGTGGCTCAGTTATGTGCATTTTGAATGTCTGTACCAACTGCAATATTAAAATAAACCAAGGTTTAAAGCCATCAAAGAACTGATGGGGAGGAGTGGTTAAAGAAAGCCAAGGTCCACTCGTGTGGTACATCCCTAGTAAAAGACAAGCCATGTTAATTGTAATGCAAATGTCAAACCATGCATGTTGATAGTTTTTTTTGCAGTGAGTAAGTAGAAAGGCTTTTTTTGTTTTAAATTAAAAAGTCTCTTTTTGTATTGTTGTTAAAAAAAACCATTACACATAACATATCACACTTCACAAACAGAAAAGCACGGAACACGGACACGGTTGGATGGGTACGTATGAGACACACACAGGAGCCAAGTGTAAAAACTAGAATATCAATGTTTTAAAGCAAAATCTAAATGGATGCAGCCAAGAGCACAAAAAAGCCAAGCAGACAAAGTACTAAGCGTAATCATGCTACCACAGGGGAAAAAATAAAAATAAAAAAAAAAATCACAGTTACCACATGAACAGAGATAACTTGCACACAACAACTACACTTGGAAGCCTGGATAATGTGAACATATTATCGTTGAACCAACTTTTATTTGTCCTTCATGCAGATGTGAGGTAAACACTCGAGTATAGACCCACTGTTCTAGCCATTCAGCTTGTTAATAAATAGAAGAACATGTAATAAAATAATGGATTGGTTGTTGGGTTGAATTGAGTCCCATTGTTAACAGCGAGCTGTTTGGATTTAGTGTCTCAGTCGTGCAGTTAAATGCTGAAAGCCACACGATTTATGCCATATATGCAGTCTTTAAAGCAGGCCAGTGACCTGTGCCAGGGGCCACCCAACGCCAGAAACCACCTGGCAGGAAGAACAGAGGTGAAAATCAACTCAAGACTCGGCCCAGAGGTTCTCAGGGATGGTGCCCACCGCTTTCCCAGCAGGAAATGGGAGGAGCAGAGTGAGGAGCGGGGACGCTACGTCCTCTGGGGGTGGGCAAAGGGAGGGATGCTCTCTACTTCCCAGGGACCTACCAGTTCTCAAAAGAAGTGAAGGGCTGTGCTGGGTTACTGCTGAAAAAAACAGAACTTTCTGGAAGGGGGTGGAGGGGCAGAGGGGAAAAAACAGAATGGCAAAACGTGATCTGTTGGCAAATGTTTCATGACTAAGTATGAGTTCTATCCCTCTACTTCCATGTAGCCCATGAGCGAACCTTGAGCATTTCTTGGGGGGGGAGGAGACTAAAACACAGGCAGAGGCAGAAAAGGTGCAAGCAGGTACTGTGAAAGCTTCTCCACACACATTTGAAATGGTTTGGTGGTTGGCATGTGGGTCTTTTTACATGTAAATATGCTGCACATTGTTGGTTGGCCTGATACACCGCTGCTTTGGAAAGCTTTCATTCCTCTTTTCCTTGGCAGACTGCACTTCAGTAATGGCACAGGGCCACAGGGCTCCAGCTGTGGGGTCCAGCTGATCCCCTGCTTGGAGCTGGCCGAGTTCTACAGAATTTCAGCACATTCGAGGAAGAGCCTGACTTGGTTTTTTATATTTTTCTTCTCTTTGAACTCGGTCCTTGTTTATGCTCTCTAAATTTGGATACCCCTCATCTTTTAAAAACCTTAACAGCTGAAGTCCAGCCATGTTCAGATCGTTGGGTCAGCCCAAATACTCTCCCTTCCCTTCACAGATAATTTGGTAACAGCAGGGCACAGTACAGAAAGTAGTTCATGTGGCTGCTTGTGCTCCAGGTAAGAGGATTGGAGTGGTACAGAGCGGCTCAGCCAGGCCTTGGGGTGCGGGAACATTTTAGATTGGCAGAGGTGCAAGAGGGAAGATTGTCTTGCACAATAAAAACAACAAATAAATTTCAAATCAGTTTTTCCTACTGCAGTCCCACAGTGTAGCTAAGAGAGCTCCTGGAATTAAAACCCAGGGGTTTGTGAGAGCTGAATCCAAGCTGTGTGAGGCCTCTGTAGAGTCAACAGAGTGGGGTAACAGATTCATCTGCATCTCTAAAGACAGAAAAGGTGACTAATTTCTTCACTATCTGAGCCCTCTTAGCTTGTCTTTTAAAGTGCAGAGTAATTAATCTAAATGGTGAAAAGAATGTGTATGATTGTTGAGGCAGTCTTAAAACCCGATTCCCATATTGCCCTATTTCAAACCAGGAAACTTTTTGTACCGTGGGCACTTTATAGAATGGGCTGATGAGGTGACATTTCTGCAAACCTCCTCGTTATTTCTGCTTTCTAAACTGAATACCAGTCACCTCTTCAGCTGCAGCTGGATGCTAGAGCTTATCAATTAACAAGATAATTCTATTATCTTGGAAACAGCCAGCTTCTTGTGGCAAGAATTGGGTTCTGTTTGCCAGCTCAATTCTTTATAGTGAAGGCAAATTTTTTATGTAAATAAAATTATCCTGAACAGATCCAGCAGAATTCAAAGAAAGGAAAACTTTTCTTCATCACACCAACTGTATTTAAGTCTCCATGATTTAGCAAGGGAGGAACTGATCTCAGTTTGTGAGCCCCACGTCCCACAGTAGGGAGAGCATCTCTATTGCTTTAATACCAATATTTGGCATCTCGTTTGGATTTGATTCCAAGCCTCTGGTCAGTCCAGGGAAAAATACAGATTCCAGCTGTGTTTGACAGGCAGCTCTGCAAACGTGTCTGCCATGACCTGGATTTGGGGCTCTGCAGTGGCTCTAAATTAATTCATTAATGAGCCATTGCAGGGGAGCACTGCAATAATGACTTTCAGCTTCAGAAGAGAGAACTGCAGCCTCTCACTTTGGGTGAAGGTGTGAGGCAAAATTTTTGGCCTGGACTGTTTGGGTCTTGTGAGCCTCCACCTTGAGAGGCGTTTCTAGGATGGCTTCTATTTGTTCACATTGGTTTGTACTGGAAAGATTAGCTCAGAACTGCTTCAGCTCTGCTGATACCTAAGGAAGGTATGCCATCTTCTGAAGGCAATGGTAATGGAAGGGCCAAACTGGGCAAGTCACAAAAGCTGACAATAAATCAAATTAGATTTCTAAAGAGTTTTCTTCAGAAAAGAAAACTTTGGGAGCTGTAGAAACCCATATCTTTACTTACAATTTCTCTACAGAGACATAAATTAGTTTTCCATTAACTTTTCGCTTTAGAGGAAACTCACTCCTCAGCTTAGAACGTTGCAAGTTTAGATTGGAATCCAGAAGAAAACTTTTTTTATTTTTTAATGTCACACATCATTCAGTGACAGAATTTCAGCATTACAATGAAATTCAAAATCTCCTGTAAAGTCTGTCCCTCAATGATCAAATTATTGCTTGCAGGGACAAAACTTAGTGGAAACAAAGGCAGAGGGTTTGTTGAATATAAAGGTGGCATTTTAATTTCTCTACCATAACACTACAGTATTTAATCTACCTATTATAGCTGATCCAACTCCCAGATTTAAAAATATTTACCCAGAGTTACATGGCCCAACAGCAACAAATTCTTTTAATGCATGCTTAAATTCAAGATTTATGGTAATATCTGGTGTAAAAATGTTTCAGGGCTCTGCTGAAAAAAAGCCCAGCCAGGTTTTTTTGAAGATAAAATAAAGCAGATGAACTTGGGATGTTGTTATGGCTGTAAAAGCATGGAAAAGCAGGGACATCCATGATGGATAGAACCTGGGAAGTGTTGGTTTGGTATGAACTATGTAGAGTTCATGTAATGGTGTTTCTTTATGAGACTGACAATGCCAAGGGAAGACAAACAGTGAGATACAGCTCCCTTTTCTCACAGTAATGGAGACAACAGAAAAAAATGAACTGCTTTTAACAAAAGACTGCGGGGACAACACTTCAGGACATTTTTGACATTGCTATAAGTTTCCACTTCTTTCTTCTCTGGAGCTGTAACAGAAAAAAACTCTTCAGCTTCATCCCACCTTGGAAGTCAGATTTATTATACTGCATCAGGCAAGAAAAAAAAAAACAACAAAAAAAGAAATAGAATTTTAGATACTACAGTTTGGTTTTTTTTTTTCCCATCAGAAGAAAAAGGTGATATTCAGAATGTCAGTCCTAAGTACAACCATCTAGGCAAAATCTCCAAAGCCTGGTAAGCACCAAGAGCTGTGTTCTGGTTGGTAGTGTGTGGGCTTATACTCGAATGTTTACCTGGCTTCATCTAAGCCAAGTATCTGGAGTTTGGTTCACATTCATTTCAGGCTCAAGGTTAAAGACTCACAACCTCTTTTTATTTCACTCTCTCCTGCTGAACCCTTTTGTCCAATGTTCTCTAGCCCTCTGGGAAAACAAACACATTTAATATTCAGACAGTAGAGAGTAGGGCACTGCAACAGCAAATAAATTCAATACTGAAAGGTCAGTAAGGTGATTAGTATAAAATTGTAAACAAGAGGTCAATTTTGCAAAGAGATGCCAACTCTTAGGTGTAACTGAGACTATTCTAGGTCAAGACTAAACTGTACAAAGGTAAAGGAGTTTGGTCAAGGACTATTGCATGTGGAAAGCTTTGAAATAGAAAACATCTTCAGTATATTTATATACTTATTTAGTATATTCAGATTTTTTTTCTATTAATCCTCTCAGTTTTAGGTGAGTAAAATCAGATTAGGTCTCCACAGGAGATGCTGCCTGAATTGGGGTCACCTGTAAATGTTGTGCCTCGTATGTTCTGGGGAGTAGGATGCAGATGTTGAGCAAATTCAAATATAAAGTTAAAAAATAAAAGAAAGTGTAAAGATAGAATTTCTAGTTTTCTGCTGTATCGAGTGAAGGAGATGCATAACATCATGTGTGCTACTCTCTTCCCACATAAAGATGCAGCAAATCCTGCAAGTGCTGCTC